CACTGTCTGCCATTGATCATGCCTCCATCCCAGTCTTTGTTGCCAGGCAGTCCACGTGCTATGTCAGTCTTCTAAGATCCATACAGGAGTTTAACCTGTTGGGTTTCTTTTTCTCCCTGTGGCTGCCTCTTCGAAACAAGAACTAAACAACACCACAACCTCTTCCAGTTTGTTGAGTCAAGACTTCTGGGTTTTACCGGCTTTAGTCTCCTCTTTCACTTTCATTTTTAAATAAAGGAAGAGCTAGGGGAGTGTTTAATGTTTAACAATTGTAGAGCAATTTAGGATCTTCGAGGCAGTGGTTCCTTTTATTTGTCACCCGTGAAGGCTCCGGGTTGGCCTCTGCCCTCTATTCCCGCTTGCCTGGCTAACTCTGCTCACCCTTCAGGTTTCACATTAGCTGCCGTTTCCCCTACAAACTCTTGCCTGACCCATATGTGCTTCCCTGGTGCCTTATCACACCCTAACTGAGTACTTAGGATACTGTATTCTTTTTAAAAAATTGATTTTTAGAAAGAGAAGGAAAGAGAAACATAGATGTGAGAGCAAACATTGATTGCTGCCCCCTGCAGCACTCCTTACTGTGGATCGAGTTGGAAACCCGGGCGTGTGCCCTGACTGGGAATCGATCTGGCAAGCTTTCTGTGCATGGGATGATGCCCAACCAACTGAGCCACACTGGCCAGGGCTAGTGTACTGTATTCTGACTTTCTCTCTCCTGGACCATACCACAAGCTCCTCCCGGGACCAGGTTCTTTTATCCCCAGGGCTTGGGAAACATGCCCAGTGTGGCTGCGTGAGCTCACCACGCTGAGGATGCCATAGCAGGCTCCGTACTTTTGCCCTTCAGTGGTAGGCAGAATAGTGGTTCTTCTGAACATGTGAAGTGCCAGTTTCCAGAACCTGTGGATGTTATATCTGGCAAAAGGGACTTCACAGATGTGATTAAATGAAAACTCATGAGACGGGGAGAGCATCCTGGATTATCTGGGTGGGTTTAATGTCATCACTAGGGTCCTTGTAAGAGGGAGGCACAGCCCGACATGGTTTGGCTCAGTGGATAGAGCGTCGGCCTGTGGACTGAAGGATCCCAGTTCGATTCTGGTCAAGAGCACATGCCTGGGTTACGGGCTCGATCCCCAGTAGGCAGGTGGCAGCTGATCAGTGATTCTCTCTCATCATTGATTTTTCTATCTCTCCCTCTCCTTTTCTCTCTGAATAGTATATTATCATATATATTTTAAGTAAATAAATGAATTTCTGCAGGAACGGGCTGGGCAATGTGTCCACTGAACAGAGTCCCTGAAGTCCATGACGGCATCAGAGGAACTTGGTGCAAACTGTGGGAGAGAAGCTGTGTGTTTCGCTCCATCCCCCAGTCCCGATTGGCCGGACCCCAGCAGCAAGATGACCTACCAGTCGAAGCATCTGCCCCCTGGTGGTCAGTGTGTGTCATAGCGACTGGTCAAGCAGTTGACCAAACAGTCAACCCATTGGTTGGACACTTAGCATAATAGGCTTTTATATATAGAGATGTGTGTGTGTGTGTGTGTGTGTGTGTGTGTGTATGAAAAAAAAATAATGCTCTGGCCAGGTGGCTCACTTTGTTAGAGCTTTGTCCCATGCACCAAAAGATTGCAGGTTCAATTCCCAGTCAGGGCATATCTAAATTTCAGGTTCAGTCCCCAGTTGGGGCAGCTAATCAATGTTTCCCTCTCACATTGATTTTCCTCTCTCTCTGTCTCTCTGTCTCGCTTTCTCTCTCCCTCCCTCTTTCTCTAAAATCAATAAATGTATCCCCAGGTGAGAATTTTAAAAAGAAAGAAAATGAATACTATTAGCTTCACTCGTGTCGTCACTTTTATCCCACAAACCCAGGGACTCACCCTTGGGACTTCTACTTTTGTCCCTGCCCACTTTTCACACATTAAGGCCCTCAGTGTGCCAGGCACCGTGCCAGGTGCTGGGGACCCAGTGAGGAGTAACAGCAGACGTGAACCCTACTCTCATGAGGCTCACAGAGAAACCGTAGCAGGAACCAAATGACAACTCACTGGGTTGATTAGGGAGCACTTGAAGCTGGTGTAACAAAGACACCCCAAGAAAAGAAAAGA